GGCGGCGGCGCTTCGTCCCGAATGTCCTTCCCTTATTTTTTCTAAGTCAAAATGACTTATATACCAGAAGATGGGCACCGGAGGTGGGCCGTGGAGGCCAGCACCCACTAGGGCGCGCCTGGGCCTCCTGGCGTGCCCAGGTGGGTTGTGCCCACCTGGTGGCCCTCCTCTGGTACTTATTTGCTCCAATATTTCTTAAATATTTCATAAAAAATCCTCGGGGAGTTTCAGCTCATTTGGAGTTGTGCGGAATAGGTAGCTTGACGTAGCTTTTTCAGGTCCAGATTTCCAGTTGCCGGAATTCTCCCCCTTGATGCATACTTTGCATATTATGAGAGAAAAGGCATTAGAATTACTCCAAAAAGCATTACTATACAATAAAACAACATAAATAACAGTAGAAAAACATGATGCAAAATGGACGTATCACTAGTCACCTGTGGGCATCTTTCGGACTGAGACCACCATCGCCTACCCAAAGCAGGAGCTCCGACCCTCCCCGGGCCCCAATCTGGTATGCCCGAGCATGAGCCCCAAGACCTGGACATCTCCATCGCACGGACATCCCATGCCGGCCCGAACCCATGAGAAGAAAGGAGCCACCACCACCTGCATGCCAATCACTGTCGCCAGAGCTGCCGCAACCTCGCCCATCATTGGTGCACCCACCACCGTCGGAACACGGCCCCGACCAAACCACCATCGCTAACAACCACCACTGCAAGTATGCAACAAAGGTCACCAACACACGCTGCCCGCAGCCTGCACACCCTTGTCGGAGTCCAAAACTAGGCCTGACCAGAGGCCGGCAAGCACGCCACCACCAGCGACAAGCCGAGCCCCATCACCACAACGAGCCGAGCTATCTGTATCCCCGGAAAGGCAGATCCAAGACGCACCCCATCCGATCCCTGCCGATCACACGGTGCGCACCCCCGCAACCCACAACCCACAACCCTTTCATGCCGCCGCCCACAACCCGTGCCATCGCCGCCGACTGCTGCCGTGGTGCCGCCACATCCCGTCCACACGCTGCGCCACCAAGCGCCGAACGGGCGAAGGAAGAGCACCCCTCTGTCACTGATGCTGCCAGGCTTTGCCCGTTAGCCCACCGAGGCGACAACGAGGACATGAGGGGGCAAGGAGGGTGGCGTGGACCAGCGGCTAGGGTTCCACCCCCCTCCCCTTCCCCTGGCACTCGCGTGGGGGGGAGCGCACCAATCAGCATCCACGCTTAAGCACTTCACAAATCCGTCGACATTCGAAGGACGAACGAAAAGAAGAGGGGTGATCCGTGTGATCATTGGAACGGATAAGCTGGTAGCGATGCAAGCCCGGAACGGCAGACTGTCATCGACGATTCAAGATTCAGCAAGTGTGTGGACTAACATTTAGAAGGACATGGAGTTATTGAGCTCGAGCTCATATGAGCTCTTAATCATGGGCGTTGATATGAGCCTAAGGATCTGTGCCATTTCTTTATACAGGAGGTGGTGGGCTGCTAGAAAATAGGTACTGTTGAGCCATACGTATGCGCGACAGATGAGTAGTGGGCCATAATTTAACGGCTTGCGGACGGCCGTTCGAGAAGAGGCGAGCTGTGGCCCAGAATATGCGTCCACGTCTGATCGATCCGTGGACCAGGATGTTGCCTTTTCCCCCGTCGGTGGGGTCATGGGTCAAATGAATTGTTTCTGTAAAACAAAAAGGGCCAAATGAATGCACCGTTCTGGTGTCTTCTCCAATCTGGGTGTTGGAGACTGAATCGTCGAGAGAAGGCGCAGCGGCGGCGACAAGCCATGGAGTTCCTGATGCAGCCGATATGTGGGTTCGTAAATCTTCCCTTTTCTTGTGGCCGACCTCCTGAATTAGCTACCTGGATTGGTTGATCGAAACGGATTTGGTTTGTCATCGATCAGATCTACTTTTCTGGAGGAGGTAGGCGAAAGTACAGTGCCGCCCCGTGTGGCAGATCAGGGTGCGGTGGAGCGGGCGGGCGATGTGGGATGGGGAGGCGCGGGAGCAGCCAGGCCTAGGAACGGGTGTGCTGGAGCAGACACCGGTGATTGGGAATTTCATGGCAGCGGAGGAAGCACCGGCTATGGTGGGGGATTCATGGCGGCAAGCAGGGTGTGGGGGAGCTGGCGCCGGCGGTTGGTAGCGGACGCTCAAATCTGGGATGTCCGCGGAGCAGCGGCAGAAAGGAGTGAGATATCTCCCGCGGCCTCCGGCTATTAACTGGAAAGATGAACCCCCGGGCTCCTGGATGGAACAAAAGGTTAGTGGTTGACTTGATCATGCAGAAAAAAATGAGGCAGTACAAATCTGGCATAGATGTGCTGAATTAGTGTGTGCATTGTGCCATGACGATACTTCTATGCTTGTTACCATCAATAATCTGCTGGGACTTTTTAAAAATTGATTCCCTGGATTAGAGCAACTACAGAATTATATGGACTTGGTCCAAGTAAAATGATGCTTGCAAACCAAGGATTACATGCGTCTAGTTACTAGGAATGATACTTGCTGAATCCTTGTAAACTAATATCATAGTTGCCTGTTTTTTGCTAGGCTAAGGATTGGAGATGCAGCACCTAGGAGAACACCTTGTCGACGTGGATGACCAATGACTAGTTTTTTGTGTTGTGGCCAAATTGTAATGTGCATTTCTGCTGTGTTGTTCCGAACTTCCAGATGTGGAAGTTGTTGTTGGACCTTCTTTATGTGACACTGGCAAATGTAGCTGAACCAAACTACTGAAGTGACTCCGGTGGTAGCGTCTCGCCGGCTGAGCACTGCAGAAAAAGGGAAGAAGCCAGTGGTTGAGGAATCTGAAATGGAGTCATCCGACAGTGATGAAAATGAGCAGGAACGAGGTGATCGACGCTCTAGGAATGCTATACGTCGCCTAAGAGGACAAGGTGATGACGCATGAACACCCCTTCCCCTGTTTTTGTGCTTAAAGAATTTATAACTTAATTATATGCTTATCATGAGTATGAAGCATAAACAGTTTAAAAATGAATGCCATAAAGATAGCTGAAGTACTTATGTTTGATTCGAGGACGCAGCAAATACTGCTAATGGAAGGGCTGAACATACGGGGGCAAGGGCTGCTGTTGTCAACAGTACGACAGGTAAGATGATGTGAAAGTAGTAACAATTATGATACTAACAGAAAGTTTGCGTTTTTGGATCTGATTACAGAAAATTGAAATTGTCTGCACTGTCAGGTGGCACGGCTGAAATTGACAATATTCTACAAGAGGTTACAGCGATGCAAGGCGCTTGTCAGGTGGCGGGGGTAACTACTGAAAAATTAGGGCACAAAGGGATAACTGGAACTCAGTATCCGCCTATAGCTGTGAAACAGGAGGATGATGGCGCACTGAGAGCTGTGGTTGACACAGAAGTTCTGAATGTGGTCGACATTGACATAGATTGCACGAGGCAGCTTCAGAATGAGCTTTATGAAGAATGTCTATGTTGTTTCAAATTGACATTTGATTTGTCATTTTCTCCATATAGTAAGGGAAACTAAATGAAAAGTTCATTGCCTAACGTGACATTTATGTTCTAGATGTGATTGAGGAAGCATCCCGGCTGTCAACAGTTGTGTATGTCATCGACAGTGATAGCAATAATGATGGTGCGTTTGAAGAATGGTCGGACCCTGACCATGATCTGTTAGTAGAGATTGACAGGAGGCTCAGGGAGCAAGAGGTGAGGGATGAGGGTGTTGCAAAAAAGTACCAAGAAGATGAAGAAAAGAAGGCGAACGAGCAGGAAGAGAAGGATGCAGAGCTTGCGAGGAGGTGTGCGAAAGAGGCGCAACGCGAGGCTTTGGAGCAAGTGGATAAAGATAATCAGGTTGCTCGTATGTGCCAAGCCCTGTATGAACAAAATGGTAAGCAATACCAACACAAGGATATGGTGTTTTAAAGAAAAGAGACATTTTTTACATTCATCCATGGATCTGATAGTTGTGTGTTTGTGCAGCCACTGATGAGCAGATCGAGAAGGCATGTGCACATGCTGCCGTTGGTGATGCAGTACATAATGTTGCTCATAAGGCGAGCCAAGGATCTGGAACACCGGGTACACGTTTTGCAGATGTTTGAAGAAACCTGATTAATAAAATGATTAAGAAAAAATATCAGCTGTATTAACTCATTTGTGCTATTTTCAAGCGTGGGGATAGACATGTTCAGACAAATAAATAAATAAATAAAACTTTGGATGTTAGTCCGAGTGGTATGATCAGAGTATCAACCTCTGGAGGTGAGTGAGAGGAAAACAATATTAAAAGAAAAGATACCAGGGTACAAATTGCCCAACATTTTGTGTAATGTGTCCTTGAAGGGGACACAAGAATGGATGGCACTGGCATCGATGGAGCGCGTAGCCCACAACGGCTGAGCCGTGGCCCACAACACAAAGCACCCATCTGAGCCGTAGCTGCGAGTATGACGGCTGTTACATTGAATGCGGTGGTTGGGTGGGCCACATGCTGTGAAAAAGCTGCGTGTACTGCTCCGAATACAGACTAAAATACCAGCAGTGGCCCGAATCTTAGTGCTACACAACGGCTGAGATAAAGGGCACGTATGAGCCCGAGCTCAGAATAGCACTTTCGCATTTAGAAAAGAAAAACACTATAGTAAGTCAGATGAAAGCAGTTGAAGCACCAAGTCGGAATCTCCTTGCATCATTCAGCCAACAAACTCACTTTCCCAGCACAGAGACCATTCGCACATGCATAAATAAAATTCTAAAGTATGATACCAACATACAAAAGTCAGCAGTCAGCGCACACACACACGTTACTACTGACTTGCAGTAGCAACCGATCAACAACAACAACACATGATTCAGGTTACCCCGGACAACGCCCAGGGATTAAACTTCCTGGCTGCTGCAGCAGCTCACAGTATCACATGCAGGGCTCAAGACACACCCTAACTTTGCTGAGTGAAATACCATCAGGTGTATAATTCAGGCTACTCCACCGCAGTCAGATCAACTCTCAGATGCAGCACGCCGTCGATGAAGAGGCTGTCGTCCGCAATGAACGTCGACCATGGAACTCCAAAAAGATCATCGCATCCCTCCAGCAAAGGCCCGCTGAATGTGTGCCTACCGCCGTACTTGCTCAAGAATTTTCCTGACGATCTTGTCCTTGCAGCAAACTCAATATCGAAACACAGCGAGCCTGAAATAGAATTTCCATATATCCCTAACCAGAGGCCAAAGCTGTACAACTCTGTCTGCTCATCCAGTACACAGTTTGCCATGAGATAGAATTTCTGACCTGCGAGATGGAACCAGTCTGACAATATAACTCCTGATGGGAAGAATTGGGAGCACTCGTCGCGCTTTAGATCCATGTAAACTATAACCTGTGGGTAAGGTCGATCAAATGCAACCGCTTTCACATGTTTGGACCCGTAAGTTCGCTCAGCAGACTGCCAATTGAGAGTTGATGCATCTGCTGCAAGAGCACCTTCCATCTGGGTTGGGTAAGCTTTGTGAAGAAGGACCTCATTGATGCGCTTGGTTACTTGCTCACGGTCTATGTCATCATCAGTGGATGCTAGGATCTCCTGAAGTGCCGCACATGTCATATGACTGAAGCTTACCAGCGGAAGCAAACGGCTGCTCAAGATCTCACGTCTTTCCTCCGGTTCCAGGTATCGCGCACGGGCCCACTCGAGCAAGAAGTTATATACCGCATCTTCAGATGCTACTTGTATGTCAGTGCTTGAAAAGATCACCTCGATTCCAGAAAGAGAGATGTTCATCAATTCTTCAAACCTGAAATGGGACAAACCATGCCATGAGTACACTTCGTGCACATTACAATGGCCAATGCCTACATATTTCTCCAAAATGAAAAATAAAAATTGCTCCATCAAATGGGGATCACTCACTTGTCTAAAATCTTGTATTTCTCAGCAAGGAATTCCCTGGCTGCACCTACCACACCCTGAACTTCAACAGCCATTGAAAGGGAGCATGGATGGTCTAGGTATAGCAGTGCAGATTCTGTGGTCATAGGCAGGCTTCTGAGCAACTGACTGCAGTACCTCATGCAAGAAAGAACCTCAAATTTGTCGGAAGCCATTAAGATGTCAAGCAGAAGAGTGGGCTCAATTGTTGTCAACTTTCCACTGTACATGAAGCTTAAAAGCTCCATAAAGGCATTTTCCTCTGTTCCAAGTAGAATGAAAACAGAAAAATCATGAGAGCAGCTCAATAAATAAGCAAAAAAAAGGACACACTTTTTGTACCCTAAATAAACTTTCGAAATTGACTACTGACTTACATTATTGACAAACCCTCCATGGGAGATTAACCTTTTTTCCAATCACGGAAAATTTATATGTATACTACTACAGAAAACATACGAGTTGGGAGGAATCCAAGCGATCTCAATCATTCAATACAATCAGATCCAATGGCTGATAATTGCACGTAAAAAAATAAACTTGAGAGAGAGTTCCCTGCTTAAGAGTGAGTTAATTAATCCACGAATTGCCCACATCGATGACTAAAAGAGACGACACATATCAGTGGATATTTAGATAGTGTATGGTACATGCAATATATACATTGTGCATGCTGAATTACCAGTAAAATTAAGTGCAGAAACTATAAAAGATAATATTTTATTTACCATAAATAATCTTATGACAAAAAATAGTAACACAACCACAGTATCAAATAAGAATAAAATATAAGAGGAAGAATGTTACAGTAAAGCTCACATTACCTGAATCAGCAATCCTGATTCTTGGATGCGTCTGATCAGATTCATTCATGCCATTTGAGAAAAGCTAAGAAACATGAAGCTTATTAGAAACTTGAACTGATCATACAAATGTACTTCACATGATTATAGAATTACCTTTAGAAAGAAACGACTTCTTGCAGCAAGAATCGCTGAATTGATATGAAGGGTCTTTACTGTTAAAATTGGTGTACTTGCCATGGTTGAGAAACAGTCTATCTCTCCATTATCAGCTGCAAAATAACAAGATCGGTGAAATATAAGACAACTAGGAGAAGCAAAAGGTACGCAATTAAACCATTGGACATATTTTCTTCTGGGAAAAATACTTGAAACACTCTGTCCAATGGTGCAGATTCATTTAATCACTCTTCAGATATTTGATAAATGGTAAAAATAATATCACAAAAATTGAACCGCAATTTAGCTGCAGCCAGCAATCTAAGCATGCTTGTAGCTCACTGAACAAAGAGATCATAGATGTTACCCCAAGGATCCTACTTGAATTACATATAACTTAGGCAATGCCCTTTGTAAAGCTTCACTGTAAACTGGACCAGGAATTGTAACATGAATACTAGAATTTCAGAACCTACAATTCCTTAAAAGGACATTAACTAGTAGAACTTTAGGTGTCTCAGCTGGAATAACGCATTTTCAAGTTTTCTGAGTCGAACGGTTAACAACCATTGTCAGTGGCTAGTCTCAGTTGCAGTGACAGGGGATTGATATGTTTGAACACTACAGCTAAATCCAAATACTCCCTCCGTCCGGAAATACTTGTCATTGGAATAGATGTATCTAGATGTATTTTAGTTCTAGATACATCCAATTTCATCCATTTTGATGACAAATATTTCCGGACGGAGGGAGTACTTGACTAAACATTTGCTGCATCATCATCAACCATGTCCGCCATCAACCATGTGCTTTCTCCGACACCCCGTGGCAGGTGGAAATTGCTCGCCATCGCCCAACCACCGGGGGACGCCGGCGCTTCCCCAAGGGAAAAAGCCCTTCCCTTTCGGTCACCAGAGGGAAGTTGCCACCACCGCAGCAGGGGAGCCCCGCGTCTGGCGGAACGGGTGGACAACCTCCGCGACGTCCTCGGCCGTAAAGGGGACCAACGATTTCGAGGGGTGTACCGGCAGGTGGTGCCCGGTGGATCTTTCCACCGGAACGACCTCGCGGACTGCCGGGAAGTTGAGGCCCTCGTCAACAGTAGGCGTCGGGCCCGCCTGGGAAGACGCCGCCGGGCGGGACCTGACCAGAACGGGCGTCGTCACCGTCCCGGCCGGGACAGCGACACGAGCCCCCGGAAGCGCGATGCTGTGGCGCAGCAGCCTCCGCGCCCGCATCACGGCATCGGCTCAAAGTTTTGGACAGGGGAGGTGGCATCGACGGCGGGACAGGGGGAGGACAACGGCGGGCGTCGCGCATGTCCACATTGTGCCCACGCCGAGGGAAACCAGGCCCAAATTCGCGCAAGAAATGGGTCCCGGACGGACAAAAGATGGACGGTCATCTGTTTTGTGTCAGCGTGTTGGGCCGTTTTTTCTGTCTGTTACAATCTAAACAGACAAAATATGTCAACGTGTTGGAATTGCTCTTAGGTGGTCGGAAACCTATTCACCTTCTTCAGCCTCCTGACCGCTTAGGTAGTCAGATATGCTCGGGGTCCCCGTGAAGATGATTGAGCACCACTTATCCGTGAACCCGGGCGCACGCCTCGTCTGATGAAAGGAGCGCCGACAAGCACCCGAGCAACAACATTTCATTTGTGCCAAGGTGAGTAATCTCCAAGAGGCTCATTTCATCTGTGAGATGATTCACCTTAGAGTGGCTTGTCAATCTCGTCGTCGTCCCAAAGGTTAACAGAAAGTTGAGGATGTGTGTGGACTTCGCCGACCTCAAAAAAATGTGTCCTAAGGATCACTTCCAATCGACTCGCATTGACCAGATCATGGACTCCACAGCGCGGCGTGATCTCCTGTGATTCCTGGACGGGTATTCTGGTTACCACCAGATGCACATGGCTAAGGAGGAGGACGAAGCGACGACTTTCATCACCCTCACAGGGACTTTTTGTTGTATATATGCATACCTTTTACTCCAAAGAATGAACGTCCAACATATCAGCGGGCCGCGCACATTGGTTTGGAGCCCCAGCTCATCCGCAACGTCGGGGCATACATTGGTGATCTCGTTACGAAGACAAAGGACCGGGCCACGCCCCTCGACGACCTGTCAGAGACTTTTGATAACCTGTGCCGCATGTGCATGAAGCTGAACCCCAAGAAATGTGTCTTCAAGGTACCCTTTGAAAGCGCCACAGTTTCCTCATGTCCAGCAGGGGCATCGAGGCTAAACCCAAGAAGATCATTGCCATCAACCCAACCCGCCCTCCAACGTGTCGCAAACACATGCAACACTTATCGAGCTGCATGGCGACCTTGGCGAGGTTCATCTTCAAGTTCGGAGAGCTGGGCCTCCCTTTGTTCAAACTCCTCAAGAGGTCGGACCCATTCAAGTGGACACCGTAGGTTGAGAAGGACTTCAAACGGTGTTTATCCTCCGCAACGATCCTGGTGGCGCCAAGGCCAAGGGAGCCCTTGCTGATGCATATCGTTGCAACCCCCTAGGTTGCAAGAGTAGCCCTCGTCGTGGAAAGGGAGGAGGCAAGAGAGGCAGCACCGCTGACCCCGCTCACCTCATCATTGGCCTTTTGACGAGCGAAATGAGCTTAGCAAGTCCTTTTGACTTCCGCCTCTATTAAGGACAGCATGATGTTTCCGACCCATCCTTGATGACGGATGGATTCAACAACACGATCAAACAGATGGCATTGCGTCGCGCCAAGGAAATGACACCAACTCCTATCAAATACGCGGGGCCTAGGCTGACTAGGCCTGGGTAGGTCAAGAGGAGGGGGCATTTGACCCCGATCACACCACATGCGCCATAGAGTGTATATTGTGGCTGCTCCCATGTTAAGTAAGGGGCAAACTGGAGCCCGAAGGGGGACGAAAACCCTGTAATCACACACACACACACATACACACACACACACACACACACACACACACACACACACACTTGTCTTCAGAAGCAAGAACTAGCACGTAGGACGTAGGGTGTTACACCTTCTTGGTGACATGAACCAGGATAAAAAAAAGCCTCAATCTCTCAAGTGGTCTGAAGTGTTTGACCCATGAATGAATCTCTAAAAGGGGATCCCCACAATCTCTGAACTTGAAGATCGCCCATTGACATAAGATCTTAGGTGCAAAACTTATACTAGTAGAATGGTGTTTCACCGTCGCCTCAGTCATTAATCCCTGACACGTAACCGCGTATGTGCTAGTGCCAATTTATCTCTATGCAACAAGTATTTGGACTACTTGAATAAAAGTGGTTATCAAGCAGGCTAACAATGACCTTAAGGCCTCATTTGGCAGCAGGGGATGGGATCCTAGTCCATTCCCTAAAAACTCTCATCAAGTGGTTGACCTTCCTCGGTTTTTCCGCCATACCATTTGGTCGAGAGGTGGAACGGGAGAACTCATTCGCTTCCTTGTGAATTCCCTCGGAGGAAAAACGCATCTCCGCTCGTGGATGGAGTTCCCCGTCTCTTACATGTTGTCTCTGGACAAGTCGACGTAGTCATGCTCGTTCCCCTGACACCGATCTGTGCTTGAAGGCGAACTTTTCCCCGTCTTTCCTCCATCATGAGTGAACCAAATGGTGGTAAGCGGGCCCGTGGTTTTCTACCACGGATTCATGTGTGACGGGCAAAATCCCTATGGTGGCTTTTCTCATTTGGGTCCTATATCCCCTACGGCCAAACAAAGCCTAAATATTTTCATGCACACAAAACAAACTAACATAGGTGAACAAAGAAAATGGCGCACTAACATAGGTGTACACCACATCAACGCACGCACAAGCACATAATATATGGATTCCCTCTATTGCCCCCATGTTACACTAACACGGTAAAGCTCTAATGGAGGGTCAGCCTGAGATGAAACAAAATTACCCAACCATCCCAAATCAAAACAAGCGCAACAACCCCATGCCCACACAAATTAACGTGTGCATCGAATTAAATATGCATGTAATTCCAAAAGGCCAAACACATCCAACTCAGGGGGCTTCACACACCTTTCTTATTGCCATTGCATATGAGAGATCCTCCGCTGACATCGCCGCCGGTGACGACCTCTATTTTCATCACCATGTTGGAGAAGACCGCCGAATTGAAGGCGAACTCAAAGTTGGGCACCCCGACGCCAGACGACAACTCTAAGTCCATCTCCGCCTCCTCCGACACCAACGCAGTCGTCATGTTTTCGCCTCTGGTGATGCACACTGCACCTCTAAAAGAGGAAGCACGCGTATGGGACAGTGGAGGTGGATCCTGACTCACGGAGAGTTCTTCGAGAAGGCGAGAGAAGGTGGTTGACCCGGATGAACATTTATTTGAGGGATCCCGGATGGGTGTGCTTGTCACATTTATATCTTATCTTGTAATACTAGTTTCTGTAACGGTGGTTGTTATTAAATGCTGAGCAGAAGTAACACCAAAATAAACTCCGCGTTTAGGGATGGGAGCAAATGACCCATGAGCCCTGCGATCGTAATCATGCGGTTGCGTAGAGTCGTGGGCAGTAATTAGCTATTTAATGGGCACGTTTCCGTTTCCACGCAATTGGCGGTTCGTGCGGGATAGATGGGCGTTGACCACCTTTTGCTCTCTCGTGCGTGATCCGTTTTCTCATATGACGTGGTCGGTCCAATGGACGTCTTACTAAGTTTTTTTGCCAAAAGTGATGCAAGTGTTGGAGTCGATCTCATGACTCTGCCATTGAGATTAGCGGCACTAGCCATCTGGGCTAGCACCACTGTTGGTAAGAAATTGAACTATAATTTTATTTGTACATAAAAGCTATATGAAAAACAATAAAAATTCCTTCTTAGGAAAAAGTAATGCAGGGCGGAGATTCTATCCCTGGTTGTTGGAAACAAGCCAAAGCATCCACCATGGTTTGGTAGTCAACTCATCACTATTTTTTTTATTTAGTGAAAAAAAGTTGAAAGTGGATTTATATTTATATTTAAATAGTATTGTAAATATTGTATTATTTCTCGCATATTTATAAACTAGATTACACTACTTCACAAATACTCCTTCCGCCCCACAATATACGACCTTTTTGCAAGTTGTTTTAGCTTGCAAAAACATTTTATATTATGGGAGGAGGGAGTAGTATTTTTCATATATCTTACATTGCTTCACACTTCTACTAGTGACGGTTGAAAGTTGAAAGTGGATTTATATTAAAATAGTACTTCTCACATATAGCTCATTTGAAGCAGTGTAAGTTGGAAGTGGATTTACATTTAAATAGTATTTTTAGTGAGATGACAATGTGATTAGTGGAACTAATGACGGTTGCTAAGGTCCACCTCGGGTCATTGGTTCCTCAAAGATTGATTGAGGAGATGGTGGACAAACCCCCCCCCCCCACACACACACACACACACTACAAAATGGTTAAACGCATGGTTTTCTGGCGACTCGACGCCTTGGTTTCAATTTATTTGAGTCATGGAAAAACCGCACTATCAAGAGGGTTCGAGCAGCCTTCAAGCCTTGTGAGCAGACAGCGTTCCCAAACCTCCATTTTTTCTCAACACTTTATATTCCTCCACTCAAACACTTTGATTCTATGGGGATAGAGAGAGCAATGACTAATATACAACTCGACTGAACCAATTCATATTTCTCACTAGATTTTGATACATCTCCAATGTATCTATAATTTTTCATTGTTCCATGCTATTATAGTATCAATCTTGGATTTTTTATATACATTTACAAGCAAATATATATCATTTTTTGGGACTAACCTATTAACTTAGTGCCCAGTGTCAGTTGCTGTTTTTTGCTTGTTTTCGGTTTTGCAGAATATCAGTACCAAATGAAGTCCAAATACCATGAAACTTTATGGTGATTTTTTTTCTAGACATAAGAGACCCAAGAAGCTTCGGGAGGGGACACGAAGATGGAGCAGTGGCCCATGAGGCACCAGGGCACGCCCAGGGGTAGGGCGTGCCCTGGTGGCTTGTGGGACCCACGTGGCTCCGTTTGACCTAATTCCGCCTCTATAAATTCTCTAAAATCGTGAAACCAGCAGGGGAGTCCATGAAATACTTTTTCCACCGCCACAAGCTTATGTTCATGAGAGATCCCATCTGAAGGCCTCTTCTAGTACACCGCCGGAGGGGGAATCAATCACGGAGGGGATCTACATCAACCTTGTTGCCCTTCTGACGATGCGTGAGTAGTTTACCACAGACCTACTAGTCCATAGTTAGTAGCTAGATGGCTTCTTCTCTCTCGATGTTCTTCAATACAATGTTCTCCTTGATGCCTTAGAGTTCTATTCGATGTAATCACATTTTGCGGTGTGTTTGTTGGGATCTGATGAATTAATAGTTTATGATCAGATCTATCAATGAATATTATTTGAGTTTTCTCTGGACTCTTTTATGCATGATTACTATAGCTTCGCATTTCTCTCTAATCTATTGATTTGGCTTGGCCAAGTAGATTGATTTATCTTGCAATGGTAAGACACGCTTTGTAATGGGTTCGATCTTACGATGCTCAATTCTAGTGACAGAAAGGGACATGACACATATGTATCATTGCCATTAAGGATAAAAAGATGGGGGTTTATTCATACGTGAGTTTATCTTGTCTACATCATGTCATCTTGCTTAAGGTGTTAGTCCGTTCTTTATGAACTTAATACTCTAGATGCATTCTGGATGGCGATCGATGTGTGGAGTAATAGTAGTAGATGCAGAATCATTTCGGTTAACTTGTCCCGGACGTGATGCCTATGTATGATCACTGCCTTGGATATCATCATAATTATTTGCTTTTCTATCAAATGCCCAACAGTAATTTGTCTACCCACCGTATGATATCTTCAACGAGAGAAGTCTCTAGTGAAAACTATGGCCCGTGATAACCCACAAGTATAGGGGATCGCAACAGTTTTCGAGGGTAGAGTATTCAACCCAAATTTATTGATTCGACACAAGGGGAGCCAAAGAATATTCTCAAGTATTAGCAGCTGAGTTGTCAATTCAACCACACCTGAAATACTTAATATCTGCAGCAAAGTATTTAGTAGCAAAGTAGTATGGAAGTAACGGTAACGGTGGCAAAAGTAATAGTAGCAGTTTTGTAGCAATCGTAATAGTGGCAACGGAAAAGTAACTTAGCAAAGATCAATATGAAACGAGCTTGTAAGGAATGGATCAATGATGGATAATTATGTCGGATGGCATTCATCATGCACCAGTTATAACATAGGGTGACACGTAACTAGCTCCCGTTCATCAATATAATGTAGGCATGTGTTCCAAATATAGTCATACGTGCTTATGGAAAAGAACTTGCATGACATCTTTTGTCCTACCCTCCCGTGGCAGTGGGGTCCTATTGGAAACTAAGGGATATTAAGGCCTCCTTTTAATAGAGAACCGAACCAAAGCATTAACACTTTGTGAATACATGAACTCATCAAACTACGGTCATCACTGGGAGTGGTCCCGATTATTGTCACTTCGGGGTTGCCGGATCATAACACATAGTAGGTGACTATAACTTGCAAGATAGGATCAAGAACACTCATATATTCATGAAAACATAATAGGTTTAGATCTGAAATCATGGCACTCGGGCCCTAGTGACAAGCATTAAGCATTGTGAAGTCATAACAACATCAATCTTAGAACATAATGGATACTAGGGATCAAACACTAACAAAACTAACTCGGTTAGATGGTAAATCTCATCCAACCCATCATTGTCTAGCAAGCCTACGATGGGATTACTCATGCACGGTGGTGAGCATCATGAAATTGGTGATGGAGGATGGTTGACGATGATGATGGCGACGGATTCCCCTCTCCGGAGCCCCGAACGGACTCCAGATCAGCCCTCCCAAGGAAGAACAGGGCTTGGCGGCGGCTCTGTATCGTAAAACGCGATGAATCCTTCTCCCTGATTTTTTTTCTCCCCAAACATGAATATATGGAGTTGGAGTTGAGGTCGGTGGAGCTCCAGGGGGCCCATGAGGCAGGGGGCACGCCCATGGGGGTAGGGCGCGCCCCCACCCTTGTGGATAGGGTGTGGGCCCCCTACTGCTGATTCTTTCGCCAATATTTTTTATTAATTACAAAAAGTGACTCCGTGAAGTTCTAGGTCATTCCGAGAACTTTTATTTCTGCACAAAAATAACACCATGGTAGTTATGCTAAAAACAGCGTCGTTCCGGGTTAGTTCCATTCAAGTCATGCAAATTAGAGTTCAAAACAAGGGCAAAAGAGTTTGGAAAAGTAGGTATGTTGGAGACGTATCAACTCCCCCAAGCTTAAACCTTTGCTTGTCCTCAAGCAATTGAGTTGACAAATTGAAAGTGATAAAGAAAAACTTTGACAAACTCTATTTGATCTTGTTGTTGCAAATATGTAAAGCCAGCATTCAAGTTTTCAGCAAAGATTATGAACTAACCATATTCACAATAACATTTAGGTCTCACATTTACTCATATTAATGGCATAATCAACTAGTGAGTAATAATAATAAATCTTGGATGACAACACTTTCTCAAAACAATCATGATATGATATAACAAGATGGTATCTTGATAGCCCTTTTTGAGAATGCAAAACATAAGTGCAGAGCACCCCTGAAGATCAAGGACTGACTAGACATTGTAATTCATGGTAAAAGAGATCCAGTCACAGTCATACTCAGTATCAATTAATAACAATGCATACAAATGAAAGTGGTGCTCTCTAACTGATGCTTTTTATAAGAGGATGATGACTCAACATAAAAGTAAATAGATAGGCCCTTTGCAGAGGGAAGCAGGGATTTGCAGAGGTGCCAGAGCTCGAGTTTTGAAACAGAGATAAATAATATTTTGAGCGGCATACTTTCATTGTCAACATAACAACCAAGAGATCTCGATATCTTCCATTCCACATACATTATAGGCGGTTCCCAAACAGAATGGTAAAGTTTATACTCCCCCACCACCAACAAGCACATTCCATGGCTGGTCCAAAACAACGGGTACCGTCCAACTAACAACAATCCTGGGGGAGTTTGTTTGCAATTATTTTGATTTGATTTGTGCATGGGACTGGGCATCCCGGTTACCGGCCATTTTTCGTGGATGATGAGCGGAGTCCACTCATCGTGAGAATAACCCACCTAGCATGGAAGATATAGACATCCCTAGTTGCTACATGAGCGATTCG